TTTTCCCTGGAAATTTTCCGAGACTTTAGGTGAAATTGCGTGCAAAATTATCTGAAAAATCGAAAGGAAAATATTCATAAATTTACCAGGAAAGTCGTGTTTTATCTGCAGGGATTCGGTAACGCCCGAAGGCTCATACGGCGTTTTTCCTGAGCACAGTGGTGTGCCGGAAAGTGTTTGGGCACCTGATTCACAAAATATAGGATGTGCTGAGGATGTTACATGCTGAAACATTTCTTTTTCGAAAAATCTATTGCTCTAGACTAACCTTTAGACACAGTCAATTTTAATAAAATCGCAAAGGCGGGACCCAAAAAATATACTTTGCACCTCTCTGCGGCCTACAGAAGTCAGAAGGAGATGAGCTTACAGTTCATGCTCGAAACATGACAGGAGAAAAATAGCTAGGGTTGAGGACGAAAGTAATAAAAGGAGAAAAACGCATGATCACAAGCGTGTGCGGACTATTCACTGCCGTGCTAAGGAAAAACGCCGTAGGAACATTCGAGAGTTGCCGAAAATCCCTTGATAAAACGTGTATTTTTGACAACATTATTGCATATTTTTCTTGGACATTTTCAGATATTTTGGATTAAATTACGTACACGACTGTCTGAAAATGTTAAAAAATAATGTTCAGAATTTTCTCAATAAATTTGATTTTTATCGGAGGAAACTTGGCAACGTCTGAAGGCTCATACGGCGTTCTTCCTTAGCACGGCAGTATACAGGGTGGGTCAGAAGTTCCAGGACGGTCGGCTAACTTTTTAACGGTTCGAGATAGAAAAATGAAACTTTGGGAATGTTCCTATCTCAAAGGGGACCATCTTTTGGGGGAGTCAAAATTTTGGTCCCCCCTAAGGGAGGGGGCGGGGGCCCCCAACTTTTTTTTTTTCAAATAGCAACCCCTATCTTGTGATACCTCATTCGAAAGACCATAAAAAACTAAGAATTTTGGCGCAAACCGCAGATCAATATCTTAATTTTTGACCGAGTTATGATAGGATCAAAGGTCAAATTTGACCTATTTTCAAAAAATCACATCTCCGGTTCAAATTATCGTAAAGAAAAAAATAAAACGGGAAAATTTACTAATTGTAATTGTGTGTGGTCTTTCGAATGAGGTATCACAAGATAGGGGTTGCTATTTGAAAAAAAAAGTTGGGGGCCCCCCGTCCCCTCCCTTAGGGGGTACCAAAATTTTGACTCCCCCAAAAGATGGTCCCCTTTGAGATAGGAACATTCCTGAAGTTTCATTATTCTATCTCGAACCGTTAAAAAGTTAGCCTACCGTCCTGGAACTTCTGGCCCACCCTGTATAGCAGTAGAGGCAAGAATCCGGGGGTGAGGTCCAGTGCCTTTGCGAGCCCAAGCGCAGCCGATCCAGATCAATTCGATCGGAAGCCCCGTGAGCGTCCCTGGAAGAGGGATATCGAGATCGGGTTTTCCCCTCCTGTCTCACGAAGGGATAGCAATCCGGCCAGGAATTATATCCGAATTTGGTCCGCGCTACTGCGTATCGTTCCTCGAACTAAAGCAATAACCGCCCAAATCGCCTCTGAGTTCGGGATGCGTGAGGGGAAATTCTTTTACCTGCTCAGGCCCTCTTGAGCGAATATTTCGATCGAAAGCACCCTGCCGCCGTGCCTGGTCGTTCACGAACTCGGAGGGCGATCAAATTAATTTCAATTCCCTCTCGACCCCTGAATTCTGCCGTGCTAAGGAAAAACGCCGTATGAACCTTCAAGCATTGCCAAATTTCCTTTGACAATTCACTAGTTTTCAAGAAAATTTATGAATATTTTTCTTCCGATTTCTCAGGTGATTTTGCTTGCACTTTGATCTAAAAAGTCTGAAAATTTCGAGGAAAAATATGGAAAATTTTCCTGAAAAATAAACATTTTATCGGTGAAAATTTGGCAACTCTTGAATGTTCATACGACGTTTTTCCTTGGCACGGCAGCATTGCTGTAACACTTTACGTTTCAACAAGAAATAGGATCAACGTAATATTTCGAAAATTTTCATTATTTCTCCTCTTTGCTGAAAGGATACTTGTTCTGCGAAATGTCTGAGCGATAAAACGGTTAGTTCCCTTTTTAAAAAAAACGATATCGATGGGAATGGTACAAAACCACGCATCTCTGTTTACGACGTAGCAGACTTCCAGAGTCCATTTTCGCACGGTGAAACTAGTCACCGTATTTTCTCGAAAAGTCGGCTTGTTTTTCTTGCAAAACATAAAATAGGAGCGGAAATATTGAAACATCGCGATGGAGAAACGTGGTTTTGCACTTAGGCAACCTATATAGGAATTGCGATTTAAAATATTGCAATCGGGATGCGTGCTTCCTGAATGACGCCATCGATTTCTCTAACGAAGTTTCCCGGAAACGCGGGAGTTCCCACTGTGATTCCTGCTGAAATATTTCGAAAAGCGGTTTGGCAACAGCGTGTTCGGCATCGGCGCTGGAAGCGAGTCTGTCGGGTTCGCGGCGAGCACGCGTCGCGGTTGCTCCCCGCTTGGGCGAACTTTTTGGCGGTGTTGTCGGCTCGACACAGAATAATCGACTTCGAGGAGCGAGCCGAAAGCTCCCAACGTGAAGGTGAGTTCAGGGGATGAACAAAAGACCATCGAGGTAATCCAGCTGATTATTTCGTGAACATTTGAATGAGGATATGATTCGAATCACGAATAATCAGATCGCGGATACGCCGACCGCGGATAATCGAGGCTGGAATAAGTGTATCCGAGGTTCAGCGTAAGAACACACCCAATAGTCGAAATCCACTAGCATCACCATTATAATCCATTTGATACATGTACCACACAATCCGAACCGCGGATATTCAAGTTGCAGATACCCCCACCGCGGATAATCGAGCCTAGACTGTGTATTACGGTTCAGCGCACGACACGGACATGCCCGAAAGTCAAAACCAACCAGCATCACTGCTGTCATTCATTTAATACAGTTATGATACTTTCAGAACCGCGGATGGTCGGATCGCGGTTACTGTAGTCGCGAATAATTGAGACAAGACTGTGTAGGAAGGCTCAGTGTAAGGACACGACCGAGAGTCGAAACCCACCTGCATCACTATTAATTGCCATCCATTTGATACTTTCATGGCACAACCCAAACCGCGGATATTCAAGTCGCAGATACCCCCACCGCGGATAATCGAGCCTAGACTGTGTATTACGGTTCAACGCAACGCACGGACAGACCCGAAAGTCGGAACACACCACCCACCAGCATCGGCATTATCAGTCATTTGATATTTAGAGCTGCGGACAATCAGATCGCGGATTCTCCAACCACGGATTATTGAAACTCGACTTCAGTTTCAAATTCTAGATAAACGGAAAACCCAAAAACTGATACCCTATTATCGGTCATTTGATATTTAGAACCACAGATAATCAGATCGCGGACACTCCGACCACGGATGATCGAAACTCAACCATAGTTTCAAATTTTGGATAAAAGGAAGACCCAAAAGCTGATACCCTATGTTATAACTACAATCATCTACCGCACACGACATCATACAAAACGCGGATATTTGGATCGCAGATACTACGGCGGAGCTGGAGGTAAGATGGCGTAGGTAGGTACAGCTTTTTTTATGGTAGCCTTCCTCGAAAATGGTGTGGATTATGAACAAAGCCATACTTCAAAAAAGTGTTCGAAAATATTTTGAGTTGTCTTGCGCTGTAAACTAAGGACGTAACGATCCGTTCTCCATTCCGGTCCGTTTTCGATTCAGAGCTTTAATTTTTCGATTACGCAGACATTTTGACGCTACATAGTGCCCTTTGTCCACACAAGCACGGTTCGCGGAACTTGTTCCAGGAACTTATTATAACCCAGCTGTAATTTATTATTCCGCGAAAACCCAGGTTGTGGAACTAATTCGTTCAAACTGCACTCGCGTGGACAAGGCACGCACAGGGTGATCCTAAAGTCCCTTCCACCCCCTTTAACTTTTTACTAAATTGAGGTAAAGATTTGAAACTTGGAGGATGTTTCTGGGTCAGAGGGAGCTACTTTTCGGCCCCCGAGAATTTTCAGGGGTGCTCCCTAAGGAGAAGGCAACTGACCCCAATTCTTCTTTTTTCAGATGAAAAGATAAACTCTGTGACGCCTCGCTGAAAGAACATGAAAAAAGACAACTTTTCGCGCAAACTCGGAGTCAATTTTTCAAACCGTTCAAAGTGGAGGACGGTCAAATTTCAAAATTGCCGAAAATTGGCATCTCAGTTTTTTGCTGATGCATTGGCTAAAACTTAGAACATGAGGGTACTTTGGCATGAGAAAAACGAATTTGTCGTTTGTCGTTGGATTTTTGAAAAAGTCAATTTTTGGCCATTCTGAACCTTAACCGGCCACCATTCTGAAATAGTTAGTGCTATTGATCTCGGGTTGCCGCGAAAAGTTTACTTTTGCCATGTCCTTTCAAACGAGGTATCACGCGAGAGGTCTTTCCATTTTAAAAAAAAAGGGGATAAAAGAGAAAAAATAGTGTCCGTTGCCCTACGAGGGGTCAAATGCGAGGTCCCTTTCTATTGTAAAAAAAAGGGGGAAAAAGAGAAAGAATAGAATCCGTTGCCCTCCTCCCCAAAAAGGCCCCCTGAAAATTTAAGGGGGCCAAGAAGCAGCTCCCTTGGACCGCGAAACATCCTCCAATTCCGACACCTTCTTTAATAATCTGGCTAAATAGTTGGAGGGGCTGGAAGGGCCTTTCGGCTCACCCTGTGTGATAGCCCCTCCTGTGGAATTCGATCGAACGCGGTGTTTAGCCGGTGCGCTTGGCAACGTCGCGCGGAACGTCGGAGTGGGGGTCGACTCCCGCCCCTGTGTTCGGGTCGAGCTCGGGCCGACGCGGTGTTGCCGGGTCTCCCCGAAAAACCCCACTTATTGCCATCTAAAACTCCGCGGGGCGCACGAGGCGGCAACGGCGCGGGCTCGAATGGCGTTCGGAGCTCGAACAAACGCCGCGGCGGCGACCAGTCCCGCGTACTTCGACGTTCGACGAACACGCGATTTCGACGTCCTTGGTGCCTCGAGCGTCCCGCGAACCAAGACCCGTGAATGCCGAAGCGGAGCTCGGTGGAATCGCGGATTCTGACTGGAAGGTGCAACACCAGGCGGATGGGCATGGAATCGGCCGAGGATGAAGTCAAAACCAAGGGCGGCGAGCTGGAGAATTTGGACCCCAACATAACCATCGTCAAGATGGATGGAAGGTGAGGGATCGAGCTGTTTCATGTTTTGTTAGGAAGGAGACGATTCCCGGAAATCGGATCTCTCTGACGCCGGTTCGTTTATAATTGATCCGATTATTTACCAAATCACTTAAGCGCCAAAACTGCGAATGCGAGAAAAACGAGAGAACTGCTAGAAGTATTCGCTTATTCGCTCTATTGACAACAGGGTGTTTACTAAAACAGACCGGCCAAAAATCAGTACTTTTACAATACTTTTTCAGTGCATTCCCAAAAAATTCAGTACCTCCTCAATAGAAAAATTCGGTACTTTTCCAGTACCTCCATTTGACGAAATTCGAAAAATTTCAAAAATTTGAATTTCTCGCTCAAATGGTGACAAAAATGACCAAAAAAAGAAAAAATTCCGGACCTTAAGCGGAACTTCCGCACTTTTTCAGTACTTCAGGAACCCCCTTAAAAAATCGGTACTATATTTCCGGACTTCTAGACACCCTGAATAATCTTCGAATTCCAAAAAATGTATGTTCCTTTAGAGGGATATTTTGAGATTAGACATAAGTGATTATTGTACCAGAGAAAAAGCAGAGCAAACAACCCCTCCACCACCGAAATAGAGATTTGCGCTTACGTGATTTTGAAAATAATCTGTTCGATTGCACATGCGTTGTTTCTGAAATGAGCCAGGGGTCCTCATTGTAAGATGTAGTCCGAGAGATGCATGCTAAGGAAAAACGCTGTATGAACATTCGAGAGTTGCCAAATTTCTCCGGATAAAACATGTACTTTCAGGGAAATTTAGCCTTAATTTTCGTTGTTTTCGGATATTTTAGATTAAATTGCAAAAAAAATTATTTGGAAAATTTGAAGGAAAATGTTAAAAATTTTCCCAGTAAATTCGCTTCTTATGGAAGGAAATAAGGCAACGCCTGAAGGCTCATACAACGTTCTTCCTTAGCAGGGCAGAATGGACTTCTTGGACGAATAAATCGGAAAATGAAATTTGGCAGTGCCTCATGTGACTTGGTTCCTTTTTGCTGAATGCGGTTGTGGGAATGCTGACAGCATTTAAACAGCACTTAGCAGAAAAGAACCAAGTCACATCAGACATTGTCAAATTAAATTTGTTCACGAGCTCCAATTTGATTACGCTTTACGCTAAGGAACAAATATTCTAGCTCATTTCAGAAACAACGCTTGTGCAATTAGTTTTCCTATGCAGATAGGTGCTTTTATGAATGCGCCAGAAGTAGTGGTTCCTTGCTGCAAAATGCAGTCCATTTAATAACAGGGAATGAACTAGATCACAATGTTTTCAAAATTGAGCGACTTCCTAATTGCTTTTGTGGGTAAATACTAAATATTAGTACGGTACTATTTGCACAGCAAGTAAGTACAATTTAAACCTTGTAAACTTTAATGGGGTGCTATTAATTTTCGAAGCAACATGTAAGTGGATTTTTTTTTAAATAAAATTTTTGAGGAGAAAAACATGAGTGAAAAGTGTAAGAATAAGCTATTATAGGATTTACTACAGTTTTATAATGCTGAAAATGTTTTTAGAACAAGTGATAAAAACGGTTGAAAAATAGTTGAAAAAAAACTGCAGTTCTTTAAGACATTTTATGCATGAATTTTACTCATTCGCATTCGATACTGGGAGTGATCAGAATCGAATGTAAAAAAATTTTCCAGGAAAAATTTTGCTTTCATTTCTCTGAATTTTGAAAATATTTTAATTATAAATGATTCTACAAGAGATTGATAAGATTACTGAACTCCACCAAATTTTTTCGTAGAGCCAGTATTGGAGAAATGGACCCACCCACATGGACGAGCAACAGGTGTTTAACCCTTATTGCAGCCTACAAATTAAGGCCCTGCCTATGGGATCCCAATGATGGCTATTACTTTGATCGAGACAGGAAGGCAGAAGCATGGGGTGAAATATCGCAAGAAATGGACATACCTGTCACTGAAATCAAGAGGAAAATGGAGAGCCTTACATCCTCCTTCCGACGAGAGAAAGGAAAGCATAAAAGGATCAACGAATCTGGTAAGTTTTTTTGATCAGACTAGCCCATCTGAAGACAGTCCCTTATACAACGAAAACACTTGGAGCAATATCGGAGCAAATGATTTTGAGATTTTAAGTCAGTAGACAGCGAAAATCTCTAATCTCTTCAAATTAAGATTATTCACATCCGTAAAGATTATTTTCATGCATTACACCCATGAATTTAATCTATTGACAAGCAGAATCACCGCACCTGCGTCCCAGGTCGTAATTACTGGATGCAATATAATGCAGTAGACAGGTCTTTTTCTAGTGAATCAAATTGGGGTTTTCATAAACTCTACAAATTTCAAAATTCTCCGACTTCCTCTGATAATCTTTAATCAAAGTCTCTGCTTATAATGGTTCCTTTTTAATTCTCTAACAATTGCTTGAAGTTGAATTGATTTTTGTGTTTTGCAGGAAGGGTGTACAAATCAGACTGGTATGCATTCAAAGCTTTCAGCTTTTTAATGAGCAGAGAAGGCAAATCAAAAGCGAATAATAAATCTAATGATAACGATAATGTAAGTAATCCAGCTTTTATTTTGATCAACTTATTGGCCCCCTAGAATCGGAAGAATCCAGCTGCAATTTGTTTAAAATAATAACACCTGGAAATTCGCAATTCGTTTTGGAGAGCTTGGCATACATTGTAATCATGTCTCATTGTAATTCAGTTCCCTGGAAATAATCTCTTTGTATTAAACAGTTAAGTTCAGAAATTTCGTTCAGAAAAACATTTCAAAAGCTATCACAATGATGTCGTCAATCTTTCGACACTTCACAAGAAAAATGATTTCATTTTTATCAAATATTTCAGAAACATTTTGATTTTCTTCAGGACACAGGGAGGAGGCTGTTGGGGCTATGTTACATCAAAGCAGTAAATTTAAAAAAAAGCTGATCTGTGAGAACTTAAAGTACGATTATTGAAACCTAGCTCAGATGTTTTCTGTATCAAATTGCATTAGGTAAGTACCTACATACAATAATTTGCTATAAGACCTCCTGAAAATCATGATTTATCTTCTCACTTTTTTATTTTTATTTTTTAAAGGAAAACCACCATCTCACCGATCAAGACTCAGATAACACTTCTGATGTAGAGAAATTAACAGATTTCCTAACGGGAGAAAATTCTGAGCGGACATCAATACCAAGAAAACGGAAATCGGGAACTCATCAGACACAATTACCGAAAAAATTGAGGGACTCCACACATGAATTAATCAGTGAGGAGACAGTGGTGCCAAATAGCTGTGCGATTTGGCAAACATCAGTAGATGATGATGATCCAACACTGATGTTCACGAGGTATCTAGCAAAGAAGTTGAACCACTATGATCCGCGGACGAGAGCGACTATAATCCATGACATAAACCAGCTGATATTCCAAGCTGACATGAATGCTCACCCTGAATAGTAGCTAAGTGATTTTTATTTTTGCCATTGAAACAAAGAGTTAATGGTTCATAAGTTACCTCAGAACTAGGAGGAAAATTCTGAAAAAACTGCAGTGATTTCCTTCTATATCATTTGCAAAAATTGCATGAACAAGAGTGAGTATATTTGTCCCTCAAGTCATGTGCATTGGACTCCCACCATCCCACCCTAAATTAAGAGAATTATGTGCCTCAGCAAAGTAAGTGTAAATACTGGAATTTCCACGACTCAGACTGTGTATTTATTGATTTTTGTAATTATATTGATGTAAATAAACATTCCAAAAGTAATCTGCCTACATATTTACAAGCTCAAACATTTCCTTTGATCCTTAATTGGGGGGAGGGTTTGCGCCTGCACTCACAGAGCTCCTCACCGTTCTCGGGTACCTAATTTCTTCTGATCATGACATAAAAATTACACACTTTACTGATATCAATAACTGCAAAAGGCAAATCCAAGAGATATAAACATGCATGATTAAGAAGAGTCAGGGATGACCGATTAAGCCTGTACTCATCTGAGCTTACCAATTACATTCAACGTCAACTTCATGCTAAAATTTTGATCTGTTCACCCATGCGGTAAACATAAGGCGTTTGTTGTGCATACAACTACATACATTTACTCTATAGATTAAAAGGAAGATTCTAGGCTCAGATTCCCTCCGTTCAAGCGAAACTGATGATGATTTGGCTGAAGTTATCTGAATGGCCCGTCCTCCAGTCAGGTTGGGTTCTATTCCCTATTACAATATTGGCCCCTATTATAATATTACGTAAGTCTCAGTAATCGTTGCGGTTTGTTACACGGATCATGTAGCTCGTCCATTGGGTTGTATACTAAACTCAATCCGATTATTCCATAACTTAAATTCAGGTTGCTTAATAGCGTTTTCCAAGACGGACAATGACAGCTACTTATTTCAGTTTAACTGGTAAATTATTTGGTAGACTCATACGCCAAAGGAGAAATTCAGAATAATTAAGAACAAGAAGCGAAACCGCTTTGAATCTTACATGTTTTCGTTCCTCCAATTCTGGCTTCTTCTGCGACATGGTTCCGAAGTCCAATCCTACTGGAAGGTCACTAGTTGTAGAATTCAGAATGAGCACAGTTAGTCGCTTCTTGATTTCGTTTGAGTTCCGCGATGAAAAAAAACGATAAGATTATGTGTACAGAAAACTGACACAGATGATAGCGACAATTTGGAAAAGCAAGAAGAGTGAATCGCTGACGCAAGATTGATTAATGAAAGTGAACTAAATAAAGAACCTCATAGAGAAAAAAAAGGAGGTGTTTGCATCTTGAGGATTTGTACCCACCTACGTCATCAATGTAAACAAGGCGCTCGTTGAGGGTTATGTTGACGCTGTAAAAACGGACCATAATGTCCGATTTTTTTACTTAAATCAACTCTTTATTTAATTTCAAGCACTTTTTATAGAATGACTTTTTCCCTTAAATTACACCATTTCCAAGAAAATCGACAGGATAAAAACGTCGCTGTACCCAATGACGTCATCAAAGCTATAGATACTCTATGAAAAATTCCAAGATGCCCGAAATGCAAACACCTCCTTTTTTTTCTCTATGAAAGAACCTAACCTGCAAAATTGCCAAAACAAACAAACAATCACGGTCGGGCGCTGATTGGTTACGGAAACGCACGAAGAGGGGAACAGAAAACACGAGCGGTTGATTTGAATTTCGGATGATAAGGGCCTCTACCAATTCAATAATAAAAATATTCGGAAAATAGACTCACCATAGGTATTACATTTACTTTCTACATTTTTATTAAAATTTTTCTTCATCATTATTATTGCTGAGAAATTGACCTGCGATGTAATTTCAATCTGAATCGGAATTTGATTTTCTGTGACATTTATTCAAAATCTTCCCAAGGTAGACCCTGATCGAACTAATAATATGCAAGTAGAACTCTTTCCATCCGCTGGTAAGAATGACAGCTTTAGTACTGAAGAAGCGTTCATGAAATACGAAACCTCTATGGAGGGAGGGGGGTTTGAGTGCGTTACAGCAGGTGCATTGCTACGGAAGAGGGGCAGTCCAGGGCTGGGTTGTATAATGGTAAAATCAGCATGTACTCAGTGCTGATTTTACAAAAATATATGGTGAAAAATCGACGCAAGGAGGCAATTTTTCATCCAAAATTCATCTTTAACTGTCAACTTCAAGAGGGGGGTGGGGGATCAAACATAGCGTTAAGTAATTTTTTGGAAAGGAAACAAATTTGTATTGGAGGGAGTATAAAAAAATCAATTTTTCAGCAGCTCCTTATGGTACTTATCTATGCAAGCAGATAAAAAAAGTAAACTTATCAGAGACATGGTCTGGATATTTTAGTCGTTCTGCAGGATTGCATATCATAGTTGGAGCGAACATCAAAATTAATTGCAGAGTCTGAAGTGCAGCAGAAAGAGTGTCATTTTATTTTTCACATTAAAACTATATGTACTTTTATGAAATTATCAATGGTAGCAGCCTAATTGTTGAAACTTATGTCAGCACAAGAAGACATCGAAAATAGATATTTTTCACGGTACAGACAGGGCTTCGTCTTGTCTTATCTCGTCTACAAAGCCAGAAATAGTTTCAACAATGAGGCTGCTGATCTTCTGATGAGCTCTAGGAGTCAAGGGACCAAACTGAAAATGACTTTATCCGCTCTCTCTATTAGATTAATAAATGCTTGAAATGGAAGATGTCTCCCCGTTCATCAATTGGTTGGTCAAAACACTGAAATGTAGATTTCTTTTAAACGAAATGACAAATCACTACCTCTAGTACAAACATGCTTGGTACGCCAAATACTTCTCAATTCTGGCTGGCAACAGCATGAAAAAAAAATGATTCAACTGAGGATATCTTTCAACAGAATTTCATTTGAGTGATGTAATAATCTTGGTAATTTTTACTGTTCTGACTGATCTCGCCCTTACTTCAGAAGGGTCATCTTAGTCTTGTGACAAGCTCATGAGACTAATCATTACTCATTTAAGATGATACCGCTCTTTCTGCTTTAAAGAATTAATATTCAAACTTTCAGAACAATTCTCATATTCAAAAGGGAAACAAGTTCAGATTGTGGCTGAAAATTGTTACAGAGGAATTGTTCAGAAAAATTACACGAATTTTTCAACAATACTTTTCCTCTCTGAAAGGTAAGGTAGTATGTGAAGAAATTTTGAAGAGAAAAAAATAAAAAAAATCTAGTTGAGGAGCAAAGTCTTTGAGTTTAACCATCAAATACCAGCTTACCTACATGGAGTTTCTGAGAGAAAATTAGAAGCTGTCATACTAAATCTGATTTTTGCTGTCTCGTACACACTAATTCTAATGCAAAATAGACAGCTAGATGAGAAAAACAATTAGTCTCCGAGCGTCAAAAAATTCTTCAAAGAGAAAAACCTACTAAAAAAGGAAGCATTTAAAGCTGGATACCCGCTGAACACTTCTGCTGCACAGGCTGAATGAGCAGCCGTGCACAGATGTCAATGTCCTTACGTGAAACAACGTATCTCTGTTGCAGAGTTTCAACATTTCCACTCCAAGTTTATTTTTGCAAAAAGAGACAAGCCAACTTCATGGCTTAAAATTTATACAGAATATTCTGCTGATAGGGAAGGAAAATCGAGGAAATGTTCAAGGAATTACTTTGATAAGGCTAAGGGAAGGTGAGGAATTTGAGCCTTATGTTGTTACCAAGGAGAAGGATAAAGATTGGAGTATTTAACAGTTTCACTTTAAATAAGGAGAAAAAAGATTAATGAGTAATGAACACATTACATAGACAGAACATTCTTCTCCCCAGCTTCATGTACTTCCTTTTAAAGTCTAAATTTGCGATAGGGGTCCCTTCCCAGCAGGAGGTTGTAAAAATGAGGAAAAAGAGTTGCTCAAATAGCCCCCTTCTTCTGAGTTAGATCAAATTAGACAAAAGTAATACTTAGATATGTGTAAAATTTTGATTTATTTACAAGGCCAAAGAAACAGTCAAACTACGTTACAACGTAATTCGATAAACAACAATAAAACAGAGCAAGTTTGAAAAAATAAATAGTGAAACAAACAAAATATTGATGCTAATAGAGGGGATTAAAAACGAAGACAGCCCTTAACCTCTAGAAATACTTCCCCTAATATTACTTAAAATACTATCACAAGTAGCTTCAGTGTTTATAAATTAAGGCTTACTTTAGTGGCTGAAAATGACCAGAGGACAAAGTTTGAATTAAAGTTCGCCTTTAGGATTTCTCTTGAAGATTTTTCTAGACACCTATTAATGTGATGAGAATTTTTTCGTACGTTTTCTAGAAACGGACTTAGACTCCAGATTTTATAATGGGAGTTCTTTCACTGTGGCAGGAAAAGCCTGGATTTAAATGAAAGACATCGAATTTGCCTCCATTTAAAATCTAAAATACATATCCAGTCACGAATTGACAGTGAAACTACAAATGAATATCTCATTTGCGGTTCAAAATCTCTGCTCCTATTTTAAATTCCAAGAGGAGACCGAACTATCATCACGGCTTGCAATTTTTACCAAATATTTTTCACATATGAGAGAAAAATCACTGCAGTTTTCAAAAAATGATGTTCAGGAGTTTTCAATGTAGAAAATAAAGTATGAAAGGAAGTATACGCAAATTTCCGCAGTTTCACTGTCGATATGCCAGCTATTTTGAACTCGAGTAAAATTCAGGTTAAAGCTTCATTCAGTAAAAAAAGGTGGCTAAGGTTGTCTGGTCAGATGACTTGAACCTGCTTCCTTCTAATCGAGCCTTAATGAAAGTGTTGTTCCTCGAATAAAAGTTAAAACATTGCTTAGCAGAAATGATTACTTCTAGTTGAATGAAAAAGAAATATCCATCACAGAACAAAATGACGATAACCTATACTACCTGCATGGCATTTTTGGTAAATACAGGTTAGTTATAGTGATGCTCTTATTAAAAACCAGACAAGAGTATGCCTTTTGGTTGCGTGAAATACAAAAAAGAGTGATGAAAATTTCCTATCACCTCTTTCTCACTCAGAATTGAAATATAGGACATGTTTTTCATTCTGATGTGAGATATTCAGAATTCGACTTGAATGGTATTATGTACTTCATGAGCAAAAATATATTCAGAACTTATGAGTCTAAAAAAATTTCATAATAACTTAGAACGCTGATTTTTACTGAATTATAACATTCTTCTCTTAAATCTTAAACAGCAGATAATGGGACAACTCAGTTCTGGTCGAACTTGATACAAATATTCAAAGCTAAGATAAGGCAGGGTCCCTTAATTGATCTGTTGTTACATTTTGCGACACAAAACGTTCATTCATTTTGCGACACAAAACGTTGTTACATTTTGCAACACAAAAAGTGAAAATAAAAAAAGCAGCTGATTTACGTTAACATTGCAGAATTCAACAAAAATGACATAAATATTTATACCAGAGAAGAAAGAAGAAGGAGAGATGGTATACAACCATATAACTCAAGAAAAAGAAAAAATAATGAAAGAAGTTACAATTTTGACGGTAAAACAGTAATGTCTCTCTAGCCGACAAAGCTGTAAAAAGTTATGAGATATCTTGTTCTGCATAAAAATTAACATTAAGACTGAGATCAAAGATATATTCTTACATTGTTCGTTCATTACATAAAATTCAGGGTATGGTTGATCCTTGACCACTGTATTGAGTCAAAGCGTGTAATTAAGAGAAAATTTTTGACTAAAAGTATGTCTTCTTCCATCGTGTTAAAAAAATTAAAAACACTTGTAATATTTGAGGTGTTTCACAGTTGTATACATTCTAAATTGAAGAACAATTCGTGAAAGGACTATTACAAAGACAATGAAACCTTGAGGAAAAAAAAATAAACACTTATATAAAGAAAACGGGGAGGAGGATAAAATTTAATGTAATCTCTTTGACCAAAACAAGGAAAAAATAATACGACACAATAAGTGAAAAATACGAGAAATTCAGAGGGTTGGTGATGATTTAAATGTATCTACAAACATTTTAACTTTGATCCTTTCCTTTTCATGATTTGAGACAAGAAAATAAAGGAATCAGTGATGCAGAAAGAGCTTGATCAGCCAATCGCAGAAGAAGTGTGAGGGCACAAAAAAAAGGAGAAAAATTTGAAGACGGAAAAAATTTTTGTGAAGGAAACCATAAAACGCTCCATATTTTTTGAAAAAAAACTATGAACAATAGGCACATTACCATTGCCTAGGAAAACTGTGTAATGCGCTTTTATTTTACACAAGGAAAATAGTGAAGCGCGTTGTCTTACATGGACGGCATAGGAGGCTGCCTCAAAAAATAAGAAGGCAACTTTCTGCGTCCCTGAAAGGAATGGAAATATGCGATCAAAATGTTTGTCAGGAAATAATGATTTAATGAGAGAGGGCAATACAGAGGGTTTCAAAGAAAAAATGTTGATAAAAAGGAGGCTCTTAGAGCAAGAAAATTGAAATAATTTGGATCCTTCCTTTAAAATGAAGTTTGGAAGTAAAAACTGCTGAAAATTAGAGCTTCTGTAACAAATTTAGGGTACAAATAAAAATAAATACAAACAAAGAGAAATTTATCCCTTAAAACAAATAAAAAAGTGCAATAAAGCACGCAACCAGTGATATCCTACAAAAATATTTAAGCTATGACTAAAATCAGCCCTTTTAGTTTAAGTTACATTTTCTTCTTTCCCTTTGATCAAACCGCTACACTAGTGCTATGAGCCAGAATATCCGTCACTAATATCACAGATCAGAACGATATATAACACAGAGTAAGAAAATTCACTTTTAAAGTTTGGACTTTTACACTCTAGACGTTTATGAGTAAGATATTCTACAGACAAGTTTTTACAAATAAAAAAGCATATCCACGATTTTGTTCTGATGTGGAGGAATTAACAAACTTCCTTCCTCCTACCAAGATATTTTGAAGTAGACAAATTATGCTTGATGCTAAATTGTTGCATATTCTTCCTCTGTTATTGCAGAAGTTAGAAAGCAAGAATTTAGAGGGTTTAAAGTTTGAGAGAAAGTTTTTACCATTCATAAGCATGAGAGAACCATTTTAATTATTTCTTTCTTGAAATACAGATTATATGTCTCACAGTATGTTAGAATCACATATTAAATTGAAAAACAGTAGGCTCAGATATAATTTTGATGGATTTGAGGAAGCTATAGGAATGCAAATTGATTCAGGGCATAAAATGTACATAATAATCTAAAAAAAGAGAGGAAAAAAGTAATACGGTTTGTACATTCAGGGTGTCTACAGATGAGAGATAATCATTCTCTGACTTTTCACAACAACAATTTGCACACATAGAGCTGAAATGAAATGAAATTCTTTTAATTATTTTCACGGCAGATAACAAAAGCATGTGACCCTTTTTTTCAGAAGATAATCATTCGACTGACTAAAGCTGCGATCCCTTAATGAAAATTATTTCTCTATTCACTATCTAGCGTGAAGCTTGAAGCATTGGACTCTGAACTAGTTTCAGACTTAAGTCGATTGTGTGGACAGCGCTGATGTTTTTCCAAGTTTCAAAACTCTTCAAATTTCTGATAATCCCTGACTTTTCCCTGATATTGATGACCTGGTACATTTCCCTGATCATTCCTGGTTTTCCAGACCTGCAGACACCCTCGCATTTTACTGTTTGACAAGAGATTCAAGCTCACAACTGAATTGCTTTATGAAGGCAGAAATCTATTGCTTTGTTTCAAAATGACCCTTAATGTTTCATTTCAATTGTCCCTGCAGACACAATTTTTCCATGTGCCCGATTTTCATTTACTATACTCAATGGTAAGACTAATAGCTGATATTTTTAAGGATCTGCTGTTATTATTATTTATTTATTATCCGCTTATTTGTTTTCCAACGACCGCTGTGCATTTGATTGTACTGGCATTGAAATGTCTTAACATACTTGCAACAAATCTATTCATTCGAGGGTGTACTCTTGTTCCAATAAGACTAGGAATTCATGAAATTTTCCTTGCATTGATCAGGAAATCTTAAAAACCCACAAAATAAAAGATTCAACAACGTTTTGTTAAAAAAATAATGCATTCGGAGAATTTTTACGATATTGATATGCTGATACGCCTTTGGGGGCAGAGACTAGCAATTTGTGACATATAAAACGGGTACCAGAGATCAAGTTCGAAGAATAATTTTTTAACACAGGAATACAAAAAATATCAGTGCCACTGTGCGAAATAGTTTAGGACTGAGTTTAGTCAAAGTAAAACTATTGATGAATAAAGTTTTTATCTGTTTTTGGGTCGATTCAATCTTCAGTATTATATATTTTTCTTAAAAAAAATTAAGACGCTGGATGGGAGAAGAGGACTTGTCAGCTGCGGTGTTTTAGAATCTCTGCCCCCTTTATGTCTTGGAGGAGAAATCAATGGGTGATTTTTCCAGTATTTTTCCTATGGAACATTGTAGAATCATGAAGAATATTCAGTAAAAATTTCAATTAGAAGCACCTCTTCACTTTTTATAAAATGAATAAAATGTTGGGAGAGATGCTGCAACACCACAAATGAGAGATGCTATTTTCACACTCAGCAGCTTAATCGAATCTTTCAGTTCGAAAACAACCCAACTCGGTTTTTTTTATAATGCCCATTTTTTGCGTAGAAACTGTTCTTTTCTGGCTGTTATGTAGTTTTTATAGTCTCCTGAGAAATTTTATTTTTCTGGAACGGATCGTTTTTGAACTGAGAGATTCAATAGTAAGGCACCTTCGACAAAATAAAGCAATAGTTTTCCGTCAATGTTCTTAGTCATCTAGAACAAGTGAGCAAAATATACAATGAGTGAAAATAGAGTTATCCTACTAGTGAGCAAATTTGAAGCTGACAGTAATCAAATACTGTCAGAAACATATACGTATTACGATAATGGTTGATATGCATGATTTCTTTTTTCATGCTCCAATACCAAGTCAGCTTGACTCAAGTGTCTCCTTGCCTTGATCTTTGACAGTTTCAATTCAACTTTTTGTCTGTAATGACCAGAGCTGCCAATCACCGCAAAAGTATGCTAAGAGTTCAAAATACAAGTATGAATGTTGTGACTCAAGGGCTTATTTTGAGCATCACTTTTGCCTTCACCATCAATGCATCATTAAAGAAAACTGTATGCTTTAAGCAGCGCAACTAAAAAAATATTCATATAACGAATTCATATAACGAAATAAACGTTTTGATACTTTGTAACTCACAGAAGGCACTTGGTAGAACAATTAACAAGAAGACCTCAACAAAATCAATTTAATTTGACTTTTTGTTTCAGGTAATTAGTTTCTTAAGTACGGTGTGAACTCTTAAAGATTTCAAGATGGACTAAAATAAGTGTAACATTCTTTATTGTGTGTTGAAAAATGAGTAAAGGGTTGATGAGCTGAGTTCATTTTTCCGCACACAATTCTGGGGAATTTTTCTAAATTTTCCGGTCCATTCATCATAAACGTAATCAAAAAGTAAAAACAAGAATTAATTCCTGTGTCAATTTTGGTTCACAGGAACTAACTCCTAACAAAGTAAAAACAATACTTTGAGCCTAGAGTCACCGCTAGAAAAAAAGATTTGCACTTAACCGTCTGTATTTATGAAGTAGCAGGAGCTAAATTTTTTTCAAAACATAAAGGGCTTTTTCTGTAACCCATTGAGCCTTGTCTTTGCACATTTTTACCTCAATCGTTTTCAAAAATGGATTAAGCTTTATTCCATTTGTTCATCTAGGTTTTGCTTTTTGCTAATAAACGCACTTGAATGCTCTTCAACATGTTAGCTACAATACTGGTGGATTTGGTTGGCACTCGTTGGCAAAGGCTAAACTACCAGTACAATGATCAGCAACGGAGAGATCGGTCAGACTTCATTTTGCAATTAGGAGCTACAATTTCTATCTCATCTGTAAAAACACTTACATATATAGGGACGCTAATGGTACATATTTTTTCTTCTAAACTGAGTCAAAATCGTAGTTCCTAATTGTAAAATATATTCTAATTTTTCTCAGTCAGTGGGGCTACACAAAACCTATACTTTAGTGAAATTTAGGCAAAAAGAAAGCAAAATGAGGCCCAATCTTGGTTGGTGCTTTCCTCACCGCTGGCACAAAGCATAGAGTGCATTCTTACATGTATTGCACAACCTGGAGGAAATATGAGTTAGAACGTCTTGGCAGCGGCCATGTCTATACTCGGTTGATCGTTTCGTTCATTTTTCATGGTTAAGATTCAACCATTGAACAAGAAATCAACCCACGCTGTGACTCATTCGTCCTGAGTTGAGTGCGGTGCCAAGTTTCTGGTTCTCTCCACAAATGATTGAGACTTTCAAATCATAAATAATAGTTCTGTTACACATTGGAAACAGAAAATAAAGAAAAAAACAAGGTGTTAGGTCTGAAGCATTTGCTACCCGTGAATGCTTGTCGTAACCAGGTTATTACTTGACTGAGTCAATGTCAACCTTGCTGCAAAAGTTTGCGCCTCGGGTCCACTTGAAGGGAAATGAGGTAACAGGAACACAGCGGAAATTGCCAGGATGTGCATCCAGAAATACTGATGACTGAAAATGAGAAAATTACGCTTGATTATCCACTAAATCGGAGGTGGGGAATATTTACAAGATATTGTTAAGATATGAAACGTGGAGATACAAGAGTTTCTCAATTCTTGTTGAAAAAAATTTTTCAGTAGAAGTGAAATTTTTACTAATTACACTAGGTTATTATTGCAAATCGGATAGGTATCTGGGATGGTCCATACAGACGAAAATATCTCATCAGGAGACTTGACAACCACATTTTTCTTAGTTTGCTTTTTTTCTTCAGAGGACAATCATTAAATCTTATTTTAAAGTAACTTCAACCCTACTACTACCCCCACTTCTGTGCCGTAGTTTTTCTTTCTTGTTTGATGGTTTGGTTTTTATAATGCACTAATCCTTTAATTTTTTTCTTTTTTAAAATAAGGATTTCGTTTCTCTTCATTTTGATGCTTGTATTAACCCCAAAAAATTGCTCTCTGCTGTTTTCTGACAAAAGGTATTTCCCAGTAATCCTCAATTTTCAGAACCATTGAATAAGATTTAGGACAATTCAGAAATATCCAAAGTTACTGATTTTAGTTAAATTAAATGATACAGCAAGGCGTAGGTAGCAAATACATAAATGGAAAGGGAATGGGGTTAGGTGATGGTACTACACCTCAGAGGTATAGCTTGACGAATGTTGGGATGAAAAAAAAATACACGCTACACCTATGTACCTACTTGAGTTCGAGATGATTTGAACCTCAAAAAACATGGCTTGGAGAAGAGAATTTTTGAAGGTTTAATCTGCTTCTTTACAGCTCAAAAATATCCCCTTGAAATTCAACTTATAGTCTCCTGTCGGTACAAAGAAGGACGAAACTCTAATGGGTTCCTGGGGATAAGAGATTTCTTGTTGTTTCTGATCCGTAAACCCAAATTTCGTTTTTCCTTCCCGTTTCTTTGTTGTTTTCTTTGTTCTTTAAAGTTTTCTATTCTTCTATTTTCATTTTCATCTTCCATCTACCTTCAACTTTTGTCTCACTTTTCTTGGCTTCTTCATTTCTTTGCCTCCTATCAAAGAGTCTCTTATCTTGTGGAATATCAAGGCTGGTTTCAATAGAAAACTTCCGGTCTGAATCTCAAAGAGCACTGTATCAAGCAAGTTTTTAATCACTACTTCTGACTCCTTGGAGGATGATCTCAGTTGTTTCCAACACTACACGTAGGAGTCAATTCGACCTCGTGTTACAAAAAGCGGTTAAATTGAAAAATTGACTTAGATCCAAAGTCAAAGTTCACAGTTCAAAAGCTCCTACTACTCAAAGAAATATTATATTATATTATGGATATTAACGGCTAAAAAACAAAACGACGTATCTCTATTGCGGTGTTTCAAAATGTCTGCTCCTATTTTATTATTTTTGAAGGAGAAAGGCAACTTTATAGCTTGAAACTTTTACTGATTATTCTGCTACTGGAGAGGAAAAATCTAGGTTGTTTTCTAGAAATTATGTTAACCAGTTTTCCAGCGAAACTATAAGGGTTGACGGGAAGTCTGCGGTGTTGCAAACGGAAAAACATGATTTCACACTTTGGTCATTGATATAATATTGAATGAAACTTTGCTTGAATTTCTGAGTTGAATTAATGCTGGAATACTTACAAATAAATACGCATGCTGAGTCCAAACTCGAGAAGCACGAACGGAAACACGATATACGCCATTGCAACTCGGGAGACAACAGTAGTTGCAAGGTCATAGAATAATTTATGCGATGAACTGCTTTGGAAATATGGTCTGATTTTTCGGCGAACCTACATAACAAGACATGAATAGAGTAATAAAATTATGATGAGATGATTACTTATTGTCTAAATGACACATGCACATGCATCAGACTGCAATTGGATTGCATTTTGCGTTTAGGAACCAAAACTGGCTCAGTTTAGAAACAACATATGTAGCATTAGTTACCCTACATGCATGAGTTTTTTTTACAACTGAGTGAGAAAATTTTAGTTCCCAATTGCAAAATGAAGTCCGAATAAAAGATGCAGTTAACTAGAATCAGTTTCACTGTATTTGGAATACATTTTGCAATTGGGGACAACAATATCTGGCTCGTTTTAGAAACAACATATCGACGGCGTAAGTCCGCAATCACATAACTCGTTTGCGGTGTCTGAAAATCTCCGCCTCTATGTTATTTCTTTAAAGTAGAAAAATTTGACATCATTCCTTGAAATTTTTGCAAAATTTTCTTCACACAGAGAAGAAAAATTACGGCAGTTTTAAAGAATTTCCGTAGAGTAGTTTTCCGTTTAAAAAATAAAGTATGACAGTAAGTCTGCGACGTCGCAAACCGAGTTATGTGATCGCCGACTTACACCGTCGATATGTGCCACTAGTTTCCCTCAGTAGATATGTGTTCTTCTTCTATGAGCCAGAAATTGTGGTTCCTAATTGCAAAATGGAGTCCATTTGATATTTCCTGAACTCCTCTAATGTTTTATATTCTAAGATAGAGATGGTGATTTTATAACTGTGCGTTGTAATTCAGTATTGAACTAAAAATCTTACAATAGAGGAGAGGGAGGAGGCTCATTCAATCACAATATCTCCTCTTAGAGATATGCTGTGTGGTGCAACACTGCTTACAATCAGTCGGGCAAGAAACTGTCGATGTATTTGAATCTAACTGGAGACATTATCAGCTCAGCACAGTCTGCTCTGACAATTTGATTTCACAAAAATTTAATTTTGCTAATTTTTGAGTAGTTATGAAAACCAATATGAGCAATGAGCATGTGGGAAGCTAACTTACTGCTACCTAGTGAGAGGTTATCTGAACAGTTCCGCTAAAGCTCCATCTAGACAGGTCGACTACAAATAGATTGCAATTGGACGCTCCATAGTCGTTTCGACAGAGATGTTGATTTTGACGAAGTGCGTTAAAATTCAGTAAAGAACTGAAAATCTTGTGATTTGGCGCTTGAATGAGCTTTTCATCTCTATGGTGAAATTATTAGTTTTATACATACATACGAGTCGCTGTTATAGCGCTCTTTGGCGCTTTGCGACACCTAATCGCCACAAAGCTCGGATACTAGTAGTTGGATTATTAGTTTTATACCGGATTTTAATGTACAATCTCAAAATTACCATCTATAAGTAAATGAGTATTGAGTCATACTGTAATCTGTTGGTAGTTTTCTTCTTTAACGAATAACTGAATGAAGTAAAAAAATGTTTGAGTAAGAATGAAGTAAGATCTTTTGAACGTTTTATAATTTCACCCCAAATTACACGTACAAAAGCAAAGCATTATGATTTGCATAGATTTTCATGGATGTAGGTCTGTGTTAAGTCAATGAGTTTTTTCTTAACGTCGATACTCTTCAGAGAAGCAAATTTTATATTTTCCTTGTATGATGTCAGTTCATGCCTCTTATGGAGTTTTTATAGCGACAGTGTAAGTCGGCAAACACATAACTCAGTTTGCAACGTAGCAGACTTCCTTCCATACTTTATTTTTTAAACAGAAAACTACTCAACAGCAATTCTTTGAAACTGCCATGATTTTTCTTCTCTGAAGTAAATTCTGCAAAAACTTCAAGGAATGATGTCAATTTGTTCTCCTTTAAAAAAATAACATAGAGGTGGAGATTTTCAGACACCGCAAACGAGATATGTGATTGCCGACTTACACCGTCGATATGTACCTTGCCTTGGCATCTGAAACTTGCAAAAAGGACTAAAAGTCCCAACTGAAGCGCTGGGTGCAGAAAGGAAATTTCTTAGTTGTGGTGTCTCAGAATCTTTGCAAACGTTCCATCCTTTATAATTAAAGCAAATAAATAGAATTCGTTGAGGCTTTTACCGATATTTTTTTTTTTACGATTTTACAATGTTGAAAACGAAACATTTCAGAAAATTCACTGAATAGTTTCCTCTCTAAAATATAAATCAACAGAGAAGATTTTGAGCCATCCCAACCAAGAAATGCCCTTTCTACACCCAACACCTCAATTGCAGAGGGTTGATATGTTGAATTTACAAAAATTGACCACTTACCGCTCTAGCAGCTGAGATAAAGAGAGCTCCATTGGCGAAGGTTAGGTAGTAGCCAGGGTAAAACCCATGCCAAAGAGCAGATAACGCAAATGTTAGAGCAGTGCTGAATTTTTTTGTTCGATTGTACACGATCAACCGGAGCCATCTGTTGGTGCCCATGTTCCAACCATCAATTGTCTCTTTAAAGTTGACACCAAACTGAAAACATTCAAGACATTATATAGCTTGAAAAATTACTTTGCGAGCCGATTGTTGCAATGATGTCTCTATCTACGGAACAAGATTGAACTATGATGGAATGGAGCTACGTAATTGGTTGGCTTTGTCAGGTAGATGACCAGGAACTGCATACCGAGGCTTCTGTCAAGTAATTTAAGGGTTGTTGGCCAGAAAAAGTGTACCTGTAGATAAATCCATCATTTGGCTTGATAAAAGGCTCACAATGCGAGTGCCGATTGTTAGACTGGCAAGGCTGACTAATCATTTAACGCTTTTCAATCTTGGTCTCGTTTTTTCGAGTAGACAGACACATAATTTCAATAATCAGCCATCTGATTAGTTAGCAATTTTTGGAAATACCTTCTAAAGCCGACCGCATCACAATTCATAGTCCCAACACCCAGTAACCAAGCCCCTGCTAATACAAGAGACTCTTAATGAGAAAACAACCGTCAAACTAAAATACTATAGCACCTTAGCTAAACAGCCACTGTCATGATCCGGGCGACCATCGACCATTTTGAAATTTTTGGATGGTGCGATGTTGCAAAAGTGGGAATCTGTGTGCTCACTCTACTCACTATTCTATAAAAACAACCCTTATTGGGTAGCAATTTTGAGACGCTTAGATGATGTAATGTTCTCAATGTTTATTTAAGATCTCATCTCTTTTCACATTAAAAACAAAGATGGATGTGACACACGACAGGCGGGGCAGTCTAGATGCCAAAAGTCATGGAAAAAGAGGCATCACTGCTTGAGGGGTGATTCTAGATTTTCAAGGCTTTGTTTAGGCTGTAGAAAATATGGACAGGGGTGCAAAAAGTTCCAAAATTCATACCGTTTTTTAGGATTAGCTGTTCTTACATTATGTCAAAATTCTATTTTATCTGACAGAAAATTGCCCAATTTTATGTCAAAATACACATTTTTTCCCACTTGTAAAAAAGTTGAAAGAAAAAGAGAGAGAGAGAGAGAAAAGAATGTTACTAGAGAGGTGTTTTGAAAATTCCTCATGGCCTCTTGATTGCAAAGAGATTGGACACTTTACGCACCCCTAGAGTAATGGAAAGAGAAACGATATGCTTGATTGTTCCGCTGATTTCAAATTAGAAAGTATGATAGTGATGATTTAATTCAATACTAACCTCAAACTTTGGAATGTTGACATTCGTGACTAGATCCCAACGTGAGACGCCATGCTCATCGTAGCCGTTGAAGCCAAGACCAGACGCATTGCAGACTGCGTCTGTCAAAAGCCAGGCATTGTAATACATAAACCGCACCAAGGTTGTGCTAATATGAAGGTAGAGAATTTGACTAAGGAGTGACCACTTTTCGACAAAGTCATCATCTGAATGTAAAAAAATAGAAAGAAGAAGTGAAGACTTAGTAGAAATCATTGTTTACCACAGTAATACCAGTACAAACATACAACAAACAGGGATACACCTACAGACATTTTAAGGGAGAGGCTTTGTAATTTTTGCTCATAAAAAAAGTGGATTGATTTTAAAATAAACAGTTGCTCGCGTTGAACACTCTAATAAAGCCAGTGGTTCTTGGATTTAGGTATACATATATGGCTAACAACCTAAGTGAAAGAATGCACCTCAGAACTTTCGGAAGAAAGAAACACACAGTGGCACCGAGGGAGATACGTCTGTACCTAAAACACTACGGCCAGCAACGAATTAAGCAATGATCACATGGGAGAAATGATTTGTTAGGCATCTGGAAAGACACAACCTATAATGGTTGCATAAAAGTTGGTGTTCAACTGCCCTTTATGACTCAGTCAAAAGTAGAATTTTTTCTTTCCTTCGTGCTAACTGGTACGTTCACAAATCACTGAAGGAGAATATTTCTCACCAAGAATGATCTTCGCTTTTAAGGATTACATTTAAGGAGGCAATTAAATAAATTTCAACCTCTAAAACTTACCTCTCAGTTTTGAGATAGGAAACTTGGAAATTAAACTAACATACAGCAAACCAAAAGCAGCACTTGCTGTAACTTTTTTGAGAACAGCCTGAAAAGGACTTGGAACAGATCCGTTTTTAGTGGAACTTCCGTTTGCCTGTGAATAAAACAGTGTTAGGTGAGTTAAAGAACAAAAACTAAGAACCATGCGTAGCTAAGTCAGGGTTCTGTTGTTCTAGGAAAACAGTAAAGGGTGATGGATGATAATGAAGTCCCCCTTGTCCACTCTGACCCTATCTTGCTTTTGGGATTGAAGTAGAGTCAAACAGTTTTTAATCAACTCAGTTTTCAACTTTCAGACCACATAAGAAAAATTCAAAAAGATTTCGAAAGAGAACCAATTTGATCTCTTATTCTTGACTCTGTCCTGATGTTTACTTTCACCAATCAATGATCCGGGGAATAAAATTAAAATACTACAGGATTCTTCACATTGATCAAACACAACATTTACAAGAGTAAAAACCTGCAGTTTTTTTAAAATGAAACTGGAGTAAAATAATTTAAAAGTTTATGATTGTAAACTCATTTTTTTTCTTTGTGCTGAGATTACCTGCAATTTGTGCTTTGTAAAATTTTCTCCATTCACCCATTCCATGTGGTCATCGAAAAAAACTAGAGGTCCTACCATAAGGGTTTGAAAATTGAACATATAACCATAGAATTCTAGTAAAGATGGAACAGATCTGAAACATATTAAAGATGTTTTATTAAAATTCACAAGTCTCAACTGTTGGGTATAAGCTCCAGAGTGCCGCTTGGGCTGTTTGAAATTCAGCCAGAATATCTACACTCCAGTGCTCTTCATTATTTCACCATGTGAAAATCATGTCTCATCTAAAATGTGATTTGATTTTCTGGGGCTGCAGCACTGATGCTAACGATATCTTTGTAGTTTAAAAAGAGGGTTGATGAATGGACAATTTATTTATTTATAAACAAACGGCTTATATTTTTTTTAATATAGTAAGATTTTATTGGTGCACAGTTGTATTTGTTGTGTTATCCACCCTGTCCAATAAAAGTAGTTTTTTTCCTTTTAGAACCTATGTGCCTTCTTCCATGAAATTTCAAAATTTAAGCACATACCTTAGAAATGGATTACACAGTTGGAGAGCATCCAGTGAGTTTTATTTTAAAGACAGTAGTCGCTAATTTAGCTCAGTTGCATTCAATTCTACAACACTCTCCATGATAATTAATTTGTTGTAATACTAAAATTGTCTTCTCTTTTGACCATACAGCATTAATTGAATTCTGCCTGGGGAAAATAATTTTTCTAAACAATGTCAATTTTTCAGGTTTTTCCAAAATTCAAGTCATGGAAGCATTAAGAAACATATCGATGGTGAAACTGGAGAAATGCGTCTCTTGGTTTGCAGCATTGCAGACTTCTTGCCATACTTTATTTTCTACAAGGAAAACTGCCATACGTCACTTTTTAAAACTTTGATGATTTTTCTGCTCATGGTACAGAGCATTCTGCGAAAGCAAGCCATCGATGTTGGTTTGGTTTTTTTAAAACATATATTAGGAGCAGAGATTTTGAAACACCGTAACTGAGATACACACTTCTGCAGTTTCACCGTCGTAATATATCTTGATATTGAGAAATCGATGACTTGCTTCATTATTTAAAAAGCGATTGGACAAAGGAAAAAGAAAAGAATCAGAAAAAGAAAACTTACGTGATTTTACAAGTAACTTTGTTACTTTCGGAACCATTTTTCTTGATAAGATTGTTATTTTCGGAACCATTTTTCTTGATGTGATTGTTACTTTCGGAACCATTTTTCTTGATGTGATTGTTACTGTCAGACACGTTTTTCTTGATATGAATGTTATCGTGTAAAATAAAGGCAAGACTAGTTAATTTTTGAACAGCAACCATGAGTGGTCCTGAAATCATGGAGATAACATTTGTGATGAGATGTCAACTTTTATTATATTGGTCAAGAATAGAATTGATTTCAGACTATTGCCAGTGCAAGACATTTACATAGGCTGTCCGGAGAGGATCCACCCTTATTGATTATTTCCATATAGATTGCAGATTAGCGGTTGGAACTTGGGCTTAACTTTGTCCAGACTCTCTTGAGTGCAGGTATGCAACCGCATCATCATATGTTAAGTTAGTTGTTTGGCTCAAAAGTACACAGCAGCCAGTTGTGAATAACATTATTCATTTTTTGAAAAATAACCAAACAAAGAGGGGAAACAAATTCAATCCTTTTTCGTTTTTAACTTTAATGATATGTGTACAGCGACTACTTTGAAGGTTGAAATAACACTGGGCCTAGAGTGTCATATCCAAGATAGAAAGTATGAGGGAGTAAACCCCTGACGCTCTCTTTTAAACTCAAAGAAAAAGATAAGAAAATTGTATCCTTTCTGGAAAAACCTCATATATTAAAGAAAAATATGCTTGATATATGAAAAACTAATTTAACTGAGTCTTAGAACGATGCTTTAAAGTGTTTTAAAATGTCGATTAAGATGAAGCAGGAGTAGTACAGTCAATCCTTTAATTTCATTAATTAAAATAAATTCATCAACCCCTTTAATTTCATTATTCTCACAAGAATTTTGAATTATTTCAGTAAAAGCTGACGGATCAAGGCTGATTTTTGCCTTTATAAATTAAGTGACCGTCCCTCAGAAAAGGGACTTTAGAAGGTAAAATTTTAAGGAGGATGATCTTTATCGAGTTTTGGACAAAAATCGGATTTTGGTATTTTTAACAGAAACTTTCTTGTGTAAGAAAGAAAAAGTTGCGAGGCGTTTCGTTCACTATTAAGTCAGTACAGGGCATAGTATTGCATCATGATCAGGTGATTTCGAGCTCTAAACATAGCAGTTTTTCATTTAAACAAGTAGGAGTAATTAACAACTGCAAATCTTAAACCGCCATTGTTCTGATTTGGTTCAAAATTTTTGGGTCTTCTTTTTGTAAAATTTTTTTTCATAAATAGAACACTTTCCAATGCTTAGATTGCAGAAACTCGATCAATTTCTTTGGACTGGAGTTCCTAAACCTGAGGATAGCCACAAATTTTGAGGTAATGGGTCAGTTGCGCTAATCACAGAATTGTTTTTTGGTGCCTGATTCTTGTAGATGAACTAAAAATAATCAGATCTGTTAAAACAGCTGATTTCTATGCTCAATATTGATCGAGGTACTGCGCTTTGAAAAACTCGATTTATGACATCATTCACTGCTGTAGTAATACCCTTGGTTTCTTCCACCTTGTTTTCATCCGAGTGATAAATGCAAATAAGTGCCTTCCTATAAGTACTAATGAAACCAAGGGGAAGAGATCACGCAGGATGACGTCAAAAACTGATTTTTTCAAAGCGTGATATCGCTGTTAATATTGAACTTAGAGATTTGCTATTTGGACAGGTTTTAATAATTCTAGCTGATCTGCAAGAATCAGGTATCAAAACACGATTCTGAGACCAGTGCAACTCTGACCCATTAAAAAAATTGCAAGTTTAAAAAAAAGTAAGAATAGTTATAAAAGAGGCTGGCAGATACAAACCTGTAATATCTAAACTATATGATGCATATTCAAAAAATAATCTGTACAAATGCATGAGCGATAAGTAAGAAAGGGTAACTATAAGAGTGATCCTGGAACAGAGAAAATAAATGAAATTGATCAAATATAAATAGTCGATGGATAGGATAACAGAAATATGCAGGAACGCATATCTTGTTTATGGTGTTTCAGAACCTCTGCTCATTTTATTTTATCTAAAAAGGACAAGCAATTGCTCTAGCTCGAAATTTTCCGAGACTATTCTTCAAACAGAGAGGGAAAAACAGGGAAACTTTAATGGAAGCACATGGAGCATTTTCCCTTAAAAAAAATTAAGTATGAGAGGAAGTCAGCAATAGCGCAAACTGAGGCGAGTGTTCCTGCAGTTTTACTGTTCCAGTGGCGAGGCGTGAATGATCGATTGTCGGTATTTCTCTACTTGAAACTGTGGTAAAGAATCGATTACTGAGGTGTTCGTTGCAATCACCCTGTTTATAGATCATTTTCCATAGATTTAAATGGCAGATCAATCGATATATCGCAAAGCATGCAATGCCACTGCAGCGTTCACATGGAAAAGGTTTAAAGCAATGGTCTACAAATAGAAGAAGCAGAGGCTCAGCCCAATGAGCTTTAAAAATGCCCCAAAATTACTTGCTTTTGAGCTCAGAAGAAAATTCCCTGGGAATAAATATGTTCAATGAATGGTGCTGAAAATTGCGGAAGACACTCCATATGCACAACCCTGTTCTTTCCAAAAATTTTTTCAAAGAAGTTATTGCTTGTTTTGTTCCACATCAAAAAAAGAAATTACCATGATTTTTGACGCATAACAGACTGAGATACGTGAAAAAAATTGTTAATCTTTCTATCATCTTTGCAGAGATCAGGTCGGAGAGCTATCTGATTCTGTTAAGTTGAGAGTTGCTGAGACTGCCTAGCATCCTATCAGCTTGCGGTCGCATAAAAGTAGTCATGTGCTATTTGTCAGATAAATGTGATAGAATTTTTTCAAGGATTAGATATTCTCCTTCCTTCCTGGGATAAGCAGAGTTTATCATGAGAGAAAATAGCGCGTCACAATCTTGCAAACATTGTGCCACATTTATCATTGCTACAAACAGCGAACAACATAAAAGGTATTTCGATGGTGAAACTCCCAAAGCACATATCTCGGTTTGCAGCGCTGCGGAATTTATGTCATATTTTAATTTTTAATAAAAGAACTACACAACGTTAATGCTTTGAAACCTCCTTGTTTTTTTAAATTCCTAAAAGAAAATTACACACAAATTTCATGGAATAATTTTAATTTGTTCTTCTTCAAAAAAATTAAAAGGAAGCGTCGATCTTGAAACACCGCAAACGAAATACGTGGTTTGGAAGCTTCACCATCGATTTGTCATTCCTGTTCGCTAATGAATGACGATTAGAGAATTATTTTCTTTTGCGGATAAGTTTTTAAACCTGAAAAATAGTGCACTTACAGACAAGCACATGCTCGTTTGAAAAAAAGGAGAAGTTGCATCATTTGCAGTTAATGAAATGCATTTAACTTCTTTTTCATATTTAATTTCCAAGAAATTTCGATTAACTTGAATTAAGTACTTAAAGTTTTGAACAGATTATTAATCCTGTGGAGGTCAGCAATTTACAAGGAAAAATCATGATGGAAACCAGCATGTACCCAAGAGAATATATGTCAAGGAAAAAACTTACCATTGTACTCTTAATGGATTGACAGTCTTTAATAAAACATAGGAAACAGTTGAAAGGAAAAACAGGTGAAGGAGCTGCCTGAAACAGAAGAAAGCATTGACATTCAGATTAGGTGGGTATTTAATTTTAATTGAACATCAATTAAAGCGGGCCAAATTCAACCCGTTTAAGCATAAAAACAGCTTACGGCACCTTACGGAATCTCAGCGATAGACATAAATTACACAGGCAGCGGGAATCAGAGCTGGAACCCCGTCGCGAGCTCAAGAATGTTATCGATAGACATAAATTCCACACTCGGGGTTAGCGTGGTAACAGCATACGGCTCCTTACGGAATCTCAGCTATAGACATACATTCCACAGGCAGCGGGAATCCAAACTGGGACCCCGCCGCGAGCTCAAGAATGTCGTTGATAGACATAATTTCAACACTCGGGGGTAGCGTGTTAACAGCTTACGTTTCCTTACGGAATCTCGGCTAAAGACTTAAATTCCACAGGCAGCGGGAATTTATGCTTGGACCCCGCCGCGAGCTCAAGAATGTCGTCGATAGACATAAATTCCACACTCGGGGGTAGCGTGTTAACAGCATACGGCTCTTTACGGAAACTCGGATATAGACGTAAATTCCAAAGGCAGCGGGAATCGAAGCTGGGACCAAGCCGCGAGCTCAAGAATGTCATCGATAGACATAAATTCAACACTCGGAGGTAGCGTGGTAACAGCTTACGATCCTTACGGAATCTCGGCTATAGACATAAATTCCACAGGCAGCGGGAATCCAAGCTGGGACCCCGCCGCGAGCTCAAGAATGTCATCGATAGACATAAATTCCACACTCGTGGGTAACGTGGTAACAGCATTAGCTCTTTACGGAATCTCGGCTATAGACATAAATTCCACAGGCAGCGGGAATCCATGCTCGGACCCCGCCGCGAGCTCAAGAATGTCGTCGATAGACATAAATTCCACACTCGGGGTAGTGTGGTAACAGCATACGGCTCCTTACGGAATCTCGGCTATAGATATAAATTCCACAGGCAACGGGATTCCAAATTGGGACCCCGCCGCGAGCTCAAGAATGTCATCGATAGACATAAATTCCACACTCGTGGGTAACGTGGTTACAGCATTAGCTCTTTACGGAATCTCGGCTATAGACATAAATTCCACAGGCAGCGGGAATCCATGCTTGGACCCCGCCGCGAGCTCAAGAATGTCATCGATAGACATAAATTCCACACTCGGGGGTAGCGTGGTAACAGCTTACGATCATTACGGAATCTCGGCTATAGACATAAATTCCACAGGCAGCGGGAATTTATGCTTGGACCCCGCCGCGAGCTCAAGAATGTCGTCGATAGACATAAATTCCACACTCGGGGGTAACGTGGTAACAGCATACGGCTCATTACGGAATCTCGGCTATAGACATAAATTCCACAGGCAGCGGGAATCCATGATTGGACCCCACCGCAAGCTCAAGAATGTCGTCGATAGACATAAATTCCACACTCGGGGGTAGCGTGATAACAGCATACGGCTCCTTACGGAATCGCGGCTATAGATATAAATTCCACAGGCAGCGGGAATCCAAGCTGGGACCCCGCCGCGAGCTCAAGAATGTTGTCGATAGACATAAATTCCACACTCGTGGGTAACGTTGTAACAGCATACGGCTCATTACGGAATCTCGGCTATAAACATAAATTCCACAGGCAGCGGGAATCCATGCTTGGACACCGCCGCGAGCTCAAGAATGACGTCGATAGACATAAATTCCACACTCGGGGGTAGCGTGATAACAGCATACGGCTCCTTACGGAATCTCGGCTATAGACGTAAATTCCAAAGGCAGCGGGAATCGAAGCTGGGACCAAGCCGCGAGCTCAAGAATGTCATCGATAGACATAAATTCAACACTCGGGGGTAGCGTGGTAACAGCTTACGGCTCCTTACGGAATCTCGGCTATACACATAAATTCCACAGGCAGCGGGAATCCAAGCTGGGAACCCGCCGCGAGCTCAAGAATGTCATCGATAGACATAAATTCCACACTCGTGGGTAACGTGGTAACAGCATACGGCTCTTTACGGAATCTCGGCTATAGACATAAATTCCACACGCAGCGGGAATCCAAGCTGGGACCCCGCCGCGACCTCAAGAATGTCATCGATAGACATAAATTCCACACTCGTGGGTAACGTTGTAACAGCATACGGCTCATTACGGAATCTCGGCTATAAACATAAATTCCACAGGCAGCGGGAATCCATGTTTGGACCCCGCCGCGAGCTCAAGAATGACGTCGATAGACATAAATTCCAGACTCGGGGGTAGCGTGATAACAGCATACGGCTCCTTACGAAATCTTCGCTATAGACATAAATTCCACAGGCAGCAGGAATCAAAGCTGGGACCCCGCCGCGAGCTCAAGAATGTCATCGATAGACATAAGTTCCACACTCGGGGATAACGAGGTAACAGCATACGGCTCCTTACGGAATCTCGGATATAGACATAAATTCCACAGGCGACGGGAATCCAAGCTGGGACCCCGCCGCGAGCTCAAGAATGTCATCGATAGACATAAATTCCACACTCGTGGGTAACGTGGTAACAGCATACGGCTCTTTACGGAATCTCGGCTATAGACATAAATTCGACAGGCAGCGGGAAAACATGCTTGAACCTAGCCGCGAGCTCAAGAATGTCGTCGATAGACATAAATTCCACACTGGGGGGTAGCGTGGTAACAGCATACGTTTCCTTACGGAATCTCGGCTATAGACATAAATTCCACAGGCAGCGGGAATCCAAGCTGGGACCCCGCCGCGAGCTCAATAATGTCGTTGATAGACATAAATTCCACAAGCGGGGGTAGCGTGGTAACAGCTTACGTTTCTTTACGGAATCTCGGCTATAGACATAAATTCCACAGGCAGCGGGAATCCAAGCTAGGACCCCGCCGCGAGCGCAAGAATGTCATCGATAGACATAAATTCCACACTCGTGGGTAACGTGGTAACAGCATACGGCTCCTTACGGAATCTCGGCTATAGACATAAATTCCACAGGCAGCGGGAATCCAATCTGGGACCCCACAGCGAGCACAAGAATGTCGTGGATAGACATTAATTCCACACTACGGGGTAGCGTGGTAACAGCATACGGCTCCTTACGGAATCTCGGCTATAGACATAAATTCCACAGGCAGCGGGAATCCAAACAAAGACCCCGCCGCGAGCTCAAGAATGTCGTGGATAGACATTAATTCCACACTCGGGGGTAGCGTGGTAACAGCATACGGCTCCTTACGGAATCTCGGCTATAGACATAAATTCCACAGGCAGCGGGAATCCAATCTGGGACCCCGCCGCGAGCTCAAGAATGTCGTCGATAGACATAAATTCCACACTCGGGGGTAGCGTGGTAACACCGTAAAGCTCCTTACGGAATCTCGGCTATAGACATAAATTCCACACTCGGGGGTAGCGTGGTAACAGCGTACGGCACCTTACTGAATCTCATCTATAGACATATATTCCACAGGCAGCGGGAATCCAATCTGGGACCCCGCCGCGAGCTCAAGAATGTCGTCGATAGACATAAATTCCACACTCGGGGGTATTGTGGTAACACCGTACGGCTCCTTACGGAATCTCGGCTATAGACATAAATTCCACAGGCAGCGGGATTCCAATCTGGGACCCCGCCGCGAGCTCAAGAATGTCGTGGATAGACATTGATTCCACACTCGGGGGTAGCGTGGTAAGAGCATACGGCTCCTTACGGAATCTCGGCTATAGACATAAATTCCACAGGCAGCGGGAATCCAAACTAAGACCCCGCCGCGAGCTCAAGAATGTCGTCGATAGACATAAATTCCACACTAGGGGGTAGCGTGCTAACATCATACGGCTCCTTACGGAATCTCGGCTATAGACTTAAATTCCACAGGCAGCGGGAATCCAATCTGGGACCCCGCCGCGAGCTCAAGAATGTCGTCAATAGACATAAATTCCACACACGGGGGTAGCGTGGTAACAGCGTACGGCTCCTTACGGAATCTCGGCTATAGACATGAATTCCACAGGCAGCGGGAATCCAATCTGGGACCCCGCCGCGAGTTCAAGAATGTCGTCGATAGACATAAATTCCACACTCGGGGGTAGCGTGGTAACAGCATACGGCTCCTTACGGAATCTCGGCTATAGACATAAATTCCACAGGCAGCGGGAATCCAATCTGGGACCCCGCCGCGAGCTCAAGAATGTCGTCGATAGACATAAATTCCACACTCGGGGGTAGCGTGGTAACAGCATACGGCTCCTTACGGAATCTCGGCTATAGACATAAATTCCACAGGCAGCGGGAATCCAATCTGGGACCCCGCCGCGAGCTCAAGAATGTCGTCGATAGACATAAATTCCACACTCGGGGGTAGCGTGGTAATAGCGTACGGCCCCTTACGGAATCTCTTCTATAGACATAAATTCCACAGGCAGCGGGAATCCAATCTGGGACCCCGCCGCGAGCTCAAGAATGTCGTCGATAGACATAAATTCCACACTCGGGGGTAGCGTGGTAACAGCATACGGCTCCTTACGGAATATCGGCTATAGACATAAATTCCACAGGCAGCGGGATTCCAATCTGGGACCCCGCCGCGAGCTCTAGAATGTCGTCGATAGACATAAATTCAACACTCGGGGGTAGCGTGGTAACAGCATACGGCTCCTTACGGAATCTCGGCTATAGACATAATTTCCACAGGCAGCGGGATTCCAATCTGGGACCCCGCCGCGAGCTCAAGAATGTCGTCGATAGACATTAATTCCACACTCGGGGGTAGCGTGGTAACAGCGTACGGCTCCTTACGGAATCTCGGCTATAGACATAAATTCCATACTCGGGGGTAGCGTGGTAACAGCGTACGGCTCCTTACGGAATCTCGGCTATGGACATAAATTCCACAGGCAGCGGGAATCCAATCTGGGATCCCCCCGCGAGCTCAAGAATGTCGTCGATAGACATAAATTCCACACTCGGGGGTAGCGTGGGAACAGCATACGG